TTCCTCCCCCACCATGGATGCCGCAGTCTGCCCTCCCTCCCCCACCCCCTAGATTTACCTCAGGGGGTGGGGTGGGGGAGGGAGCTGCTCTCCGTGCTGCCTGGGTGCCACGTGCGTGTACGTGCACTTGTGGCCCCCTGCCTTGTCACCCTCCTCCCAGTCCTCCCAGGAACTCTGCCAGCCTGCAAGGGGAACCCACCATTTCCTGCTGCTTTTCTCCTTAAAGAAAAAAAATCCATGTTTTTCCATGTTTTTCTGCAGCAAACAGAAAACCTGGATCCCTGTATAATCTGTCAACATTGAGTGTCTTTGTGACCCCATTTTTTTTACTGTTGCAATCCCAAATGGGGTTTCAACTCCAAGGTTGGGAACTGCTGACCTAGGAGGACCTATTGTGCTCTTAGCTTATTGCTGGCATCCTTGCCCTTCCCGCTGCTGTTCTGTTACCCCTGCTTGCCATATTATATGAACTCGGATTATAACCTCTTCAGGAACAGGAACTTGGCACTCTATTGTCTACTTCTAGGGACTGGATGTTCACAGACACCACAAAAATAATCATTTTCTTCAAAATCGGGAAGAGCATCCTTTGTCAAGATGACTAGCTGGTACCAACTAGCCCCAGATGTTTACTATGTTTTGGCTTTTGTAATCGAGCTTCAGTCAATCTCCTACCAGTAGAATCACTTTGTATCTAGCTCAGCAAACAAAAGTACAGGAGGGCATTAAGATGCTTCTCCAGGCATGAGAATGCCCTGCTGGTTCCTGTTGTCACAGGATGGTAAATAGGAAGAAAAATTAGGGAAAAGCCCAAGGGCTGTGCAGAATGGCTGTGTTTTGATTCTGTTTCAGATTCTGCCATTTCAGAGGGACAGTGATTTGTTTTGGTGTTTCGGATCACTGTTCCATTTCGACTTGGCCAAACCTGTTTCGGAGTTTTGACTCTGTTTTGGTGATTCGGCCATAGGCTATAATAGTGAATCACAAAAATGTCTATGCCTTTGTCATTTCTTGCCTGACTCAGATGAAACTTGCAGGGATGGTAGCCCCTTCTGAGGACATGAAGCCTGCCAAGTTTCAAGGAGATAGGTGTAGGGGTTTCTGTGAAACTGCACCTCAAACTGTTCAATGCAAAACTCGTATCATTTGCCGGCAGTGGCAGCACACGGATCCAGGGCCCTGGGGCTGGGCCAGACTTCTCCTGGGGGGCGCAGGCCCCTGGATCCGTGCACAGGATGACAGCAGGCTGCTGTCCCTCCCCCAGAGCACTGGAGTTGGAAGGGACCTTGGGGACAGATAGCAGACACTGGCCAGATGTCAATATCAGAGCAGTCCTTCCTCCTCCTCCCTCATCTTAGTTTTTGTTTCCCCGCAAGCCCGGCTCTGAAACTCCAAAATTCTCCGAAACGTTTCGGGTGGTTTCATTTAGTTTTGGAGATGTTTTAGAGCCTTCTGTTTCATTTTGGATTTAGTGTTTTGGGTGCCAAAATGGTCCGAAACACCTCTGAAACGAAACAGCTGCCAAAGTTTCGCACAACCCTACCAAGTACCTGCCACTTCAGTTGAAGCCAACTTAGCATATTAGGAGTAGTTTTTAGGATGCCAATCTAAACAATTTTGCTTAAGGACACCAGCTGCTATTAAGCTAATTCATTATGCCCTTCATCTGCTCTTCTGTAAATCTATAAAAAGTGCAGACTTAAATAGCACGATGTAGCCAACGTTTGAATGCATTAAGTGATTTTGACAAGTTCCAGCTGTCCAGCAGGAGGAAAAGCCATAATCATGTGAGGAGTCAAAATGAATGTGCTGGATTGATTTTTTTTTTTTTTGCAAGTGCATTTGTTCCAATTTTGCTCTGACTAGCAGTAGCCTGTGAAAGAATGACTCATAGGCATTGGCTCCAATATCTGTTTCACCTTTATTTATTCACTTGCCACATAAGCAGTGTTGGCAGTTGTCAGCACTGTGCCATGTGCCACATGTGCTAACAATTGCTCCGTTCTCATGGAGGGGTTCCATGATCCGAAGAGGGGTAAGTGATGGGGAGTTAGGACTTGTAGGTCCTGTTTTTGTCAGTGCCACTGACTGGCCGTGTCTACACACAAGATGCTAAAACCAGTTACTGCACAGTCATTTAGTACTTGGGTATGCAAGTACTAAATGACTGCGCAGTTACAACTGTGCAGTCAGCATCTTATGTAGATGCGACCTCTGTCTTGTTGTCCTTGGACAAATTTCACCTGCCTGCCTCAAATACCCTCCTCTTGAACAATGTAGTTAAGATATTTCCTGGTTCTAATAAAGCACGTTGATTTCTACTGATGAAAGTATAGGGTAGGGGACAATGTAATAGTAGGATGATAGTCCAGCCATTTCTGGCCTCTGGACTGAAGAGTTGTTTTGTCTGAAATTTTTGGGTCTGTTCAGTTTTTTACCATCAGTTCCTTAGCCTTTTACATCTGGTTCATAAGAAGAACCTGAAGGACCTTGGATCTTGTTATGATCACCATTGCTTTGTCTGCATCAGGCCCCTATAACACATCATATTTCCTGCCTTGCAAATCTGTAAACTGCATCCATTCAAGCTGCCATCTTTTGAAGCACATTTCTTTTTCTTTTTATCCTTCGTTTTTGATTCCCCTCCTCACAGGCTGACTGATCCTGTTCCTACAACAGAAACGTCCATTGCTCCACGCCAGAGACCCAAAGCTGGGCAGACGCAACCCAACCCTGGAATCCTACCCATCCAGCCTGCCTTGACCCCTAGAAAGAGGCCCACAGCCCAGGCAGCCATTCAGCCACAAGGTGAGGCGACTGCAGCTGTTGTTGGGGCCCCCGTACGAAATGCACGGAACAGTGTTTAGAGCAAGCTCGACTCAGGCTTTTCACATGTGCTCCACAGCACTGAGGCTGAGGGCAGAGTCCCAAAGGAGTGAATATGGCCAGAACAAATAGTCTTATGGAGACTGGATGGACTTCTAAAGATATTAATCTAACAAATGGAGATAATTATTTTTTCCATCAAAGCCATTTGATTTAATGGCTTTATCACCAGCACTTTAAAATATATATGCGTTTTGCTGAATACTCTTCCTTTTCTGATTTTCATTTAAACTAAAGAACACGTTGCTAATTTTTTTTTTTTTTTAGTAAAATGTTTTCTTTAAAAACAACAACAAACATTTTTCCCCCCCTTTCATTTTGGTCAAATGAATTCTTTACAGGAAGCTTCCAAAACCAGGTATATCTTTCCCTAAATTTCCTGCAAAAAATAGGGCACTGTTTGAACTCTTCTGTTTGTACCCTGTCTGATTTTAGCCAGAATCTATATTTAAAGCAGCTGTATATTAAAGAGTATTGGAAGTTCAGTTTTTGAGACCCTTTCTGAAGGAGAGGGTCTACGTTAATGTGTACCTGAACTCTCCTGGAACTCCACCAGGTTTTGGAGCCTTCGCACAGCCTGACCCTCTGGTATGATTTTCCCCTTCCCAGTTGCAGGACCTGCTGCCCTGAGCAGTGGCCAGCCCTCGCTTTCTGCAAGCGTTGCACAGCCAAAAGCACCACCTCAGCCAGCTGCACCTCAGCCGAAGCAGGCCCCAGTTCCCCAGCAGGCACCACCAGCCCAGCCCCAAGTCCCTTCCACGCCACCGCAGGCCACACCACAGCACCAGCAGCAGCTCTTCTTGAAACAGCAGTTCCTGCAGCAGCAGCAGCAACAGCAGGCTGCATATTATCAACAGCAGCAGCAGCAGATGATGCAGGCACAACAGGTGAGTGTGGCAGGTTTCCTATACTTTGTGTCCCCTCTGGGCCACGTACCCCCAGCAGGTAGCGCAGATGGCACAAGCTTAACATGGGGCTCTGGCCAGTGAGGTGGGTGCAGGAGGTCCTTTTGGTCTTATTCCTGCTTTGATAGTATCTCAAGCTGCTCCTGTAACTGGGGCCTGATTGTATAAGCCACTGTACAGTGTCACCTGGTAGAAAGCAGCTACTGCCTTTAAGAGTTTGCAGGCAAAGAATGGGAAAGGGAGTGTTGTGGCAAATGTTTAGTCTACAATGGCATCAACCCCTGCCACAGAGCCCAAGAGCATGTAAGTATATAGAAAGCTGTCAGAGCTGGAACTCAGCCGAGACATCAAGGATGCTTCATGCTCCTTCAACATATTTTGCACGTACCTTAATAACCACATGCAGTAGGGCCTGATGTTGTCTGGTCAGTGTATCGGTGATAGCTAATGCTGCAGCACTGACACCTGATTGAGTATTATTCACCAGGATGGGTTCATCACATCACTCTACAGAAGTGCCCTTCAACCCAACCCTGCTCAGCAGCTGGCCATAACAATGTTGCTGCTTAATTCATTGAGTATAGAGCATTAATCCATCTGTGAACAGGTTTTTGGCAAATAACTATCAGTTAACCCAGCTGTAGCACAGACTCCTCTGGGAAAGGGCCCACCCACTGAATCCTAAGGGCTGCTTTTTTGCAGCCTAGATAGTTTCCTGAAGGCTCCTTCCAAATCTGCACGTGTTGCTCCAGTCTTGCCTACATGTCCTTTTCCCAACCTACACACATCTGATTATTCTGGCTTGTAAACTGGACCTTCCTGCCCTCCTGTTTAACAGAACAACGTGTGTGGTGGAAGATGCTAAGTTTTGGCTGAGGTTTCTGATGTGAGAGCAGAAGGAAGTGATGCATGTTGAAGCTTAGCCCATGCTGATGCTACTGTTTTTCATCATCACTTGTTATTAACCAATCTTTGACTAGTTTCTGGCAAGGTAGGACTTAGCAGCTGAGCTAAGATTAGGGAGCCCCACGTGTTGGTAGGCACTGCAGAGATGGAAAAAGGGAGAGAACTCCTGCCCAGAACTTTACATTTCAAATCATGTCAGCATCTTCAGAATGAACAGCAAGGGGCCGATGGTCCTTTTGGGTTTCCTCTGTGGTACAGAACATTGTCCAGACTCTCTTCATGCTGGTAGTTTTGAACACAGAAATTGAGGTCTGGATTTCCCTGGTGAATGCTGTAGTGAGAGAAAAACAGGTGACGCTCAGGCATGTTAAAAAACCAAGAACTTGTCTGGATGGAGAGACTTGTTGATTGCATTGATGTAATTGCTGTTAATGTTCAAGTTGAGCTTAGAGCAGGTGCTAACACTCTATCCTACATAGGACAGAAAGGGCTTGAGCTGTTAAAAGGAATGAAGATTTTTAGATGTTCTGAAGAAAGAAAGAGATTGCTGTTTAACATCCATGCTAATCAAATGACTAATTGACTCTTGGGAGAGGGAAGCCTTTGTCGAAAGGTGCTGAACAGGTGGGAGTGTTGGATGAAGATCACTGTATGTGTCTTCTGAGAATCCAAATATGGCTCCCAGCCAAGGAGAGGAGAGCAGACTTGATATCCTCAGCCTTATTGAAGGTGGGAGGAAGCAGAAAACTTTTCTAATTTTTCAGCTGCAGGTACCCTTTGCTTAGTAACCTTTTGCAGATGGCTTGGAAGTCCTCGCAGCTGGCAACTGCGTTACCCATGTCCAGGGTGGTTGCCAGTTCCCAGGACAGCCCTGGCTGTTTGTTATGGTCTTGCAGTTACAAGCTGTGTGGCCAACAGCTCACCAACCACTTATGTCCCAGTTCCCAGTAATACCACAGGCAGTGCCAGCACAGCAGCAACTGATGCAGAACTATTACCAGCAGCAGCAGCAGCTGATAGCACAGCAAGCCTCCATGCAGCAGAAGACAGCGGTGGCTGCCGTTCAACAAAAGCAACAGGCTCCAATGCCTTCTCAGCCCCAGGTGCAGCAAACTGCCACCCAGCCAGCACCTGCCCAGGAACAAGTGGTAAGAGCCAGTAAATGTTTGCAAGCCCTAAGGAATGGTCTGGATGGTGGGGAATGGAAGAAGTGACCTCTGTGGCCTTCTACTAGAGACTTGTTGCATTCAACAAACACGGAGTAAGCTTCAGCGCAGCCAGGGTTTTCTGGTTTTGTGTTGAACCCAAGCAGGTGAGGGACTAAGGCATTCCAGGTGGCCTGTGCATCTAGTACATGTTACCAAAGTGGAGCTGTCAGAGCCAGTTTTGTTTCTTCCAAGGTTCTTTACAAGTGATGCTCTTATTTGTTCATAACCCTTTCACTGAGTGAGTACTGGATTCCCCATAGGAGTGGCTCGCTAAGTCCTCATCTCCTGTCTAAGATGGACCTTGGTTGAGGTGAGGGAAGGGAGGGGAGAGGTTTTTTTTTTTTTTTTAATCCTCTCTGGTAGAGGATACAGCTTACCTGCATTCCAAGGTATGTACATGCTGCAGTGATAGCACTAGAAATGCACAAAGCAGCTTCTCCATGTCTGGACTGGGAAATTCTCCCTCTGCAGATGCAGGTAAAATGGGGTACAGAGTGTTGCAGTGGGTTGAGAGTAAAAGAAGCATCAGTGGTTGGGGCACCAATCCAGGGTTAGACCTGGGTTTAACTCCATGAAGGGCTTCCAACTCCTGCATCATCTTGGGCAAGTCCCTCCTTCTCTCTGTGCCTCCTTTTCCTCCTCTGCAACATGGAGAAAGTATTGCTGCCCTATCTCTGAAGGGTGTTTTGTGGATAAATATGTTAGAGGCTGAGACGGATGCTGCCTGTTGACACCTCAGGGGGTTGGAGTAGAGTCTCTAGGAGTCCTCACTCTTAGGTCCTTGCTCTGGAAAGATAGCTGAGCATTGTGACCTAAACAACAGCCATCAGAGATCCTCACTGAAGGCTTTGTTTGGAAATGTGTGGACAAAGAGAGAACTGCTTACACAGAATTGCTCTCAATCCATGTCCTAGCCCTGGGTTTCTGGGCAAAACTTTCCAAAATTGGCTTCTATTGATGAGAGCCCAGAGCGGTGCTTCAGGTGACCTATGTGCTCTTCCGTTGCTCCAGAGGGCACCAGCTACATACTTCCCAGCTACAAATGGGGCACTGGATGGCCAGGGCTCCCCAGAATCCTGCTTTACTCTGGAAAAGTCTCTACCCTAGTGGACTGAACCCTTGACTTGAGAAAAAAGTAGATGCAAAACCAGCAGCGTACCCAGTGAAGTTGATTCTACTTTTTGTGTGTTCTTTTCCTCTCTGCAATTGAAAGGAGCTTTTACCTGGCCCTGTATGAAAAATGAACAATCCACTTCACCAATCATTTGTACATGTGTCCAAAATGAGTGCTCTTTACTTAATGGGAAATGTGGCTGGCCTTGCAGTGGGGGAGCAAACAGCTGTCCTCAGCAGTAAAGGCAAGGGAGATGTGCCAGATGGCAGGCTTCTCATTACCAGAATCTCTCTGCAATACCGTGGGGGAGAAATGACAATTTTGCTTTCATTGTTGCCCAATCACAGTTGTTCTCACCTGTCTTTTGGGCATCAAAGTGCCATCTCTCCGAGTCAACTTGGGTATGAAAAGGAGGGAAGCACTTGGTTCCCTCTTGTGCTGCATCTGAAGCTGCATATAAAAAGCAAAAGGCTCTTCTGGGGCTCAGTTCAGCTCTGGGACAGTTCCTCTGAACCCCAGAAGAATGATACTAAGAATAAATTGGGCCAGTGGACGTCACCTGAGTTACTCAGTATGACGCTGTCTTCCTGGGTTCGATACCTGATTGTTTGGTGATGCTGAGTCGTTTTCTTTCTTGGTCTCCATCTGGGTCTGAGCCTCAGCCAGTTGAAGCCAGGGTGAGTGGCCAGTTTTGGCTGGACTTGCATGGGTTTTGAATTAAGCCTATTCTCATTCTCCTTTTGGCGGGAGGAAATGCCTTGAGACTGATCAGAAGGTGTCTTCCTAAAGTATCTTTGAGGTTATCCAACAACATGAAAAATACTCTTAATTTTTAAATTAAAAAAGTGAGACCAGAAATTAGCTCCCTCTTTCCCCACAAAAGTCACCAATGCACACTGAACTCTTTCTACAGCAACCAGGAGAAAACATTAATTGTCTTTTCTGCAAGAGAAGTGAGACATCTTTTTCTCTGGAACCAGCTGCCTGAGCCTAGAAAGCCAAACCTGGCTCCGTTTTCATGCTGCATAACTTTCAGTATTAAGAGCCATGCACGTTTCTGCAGAGATTTCAATACAACCCTCTTCCTCCTACCCCCCAACTGAACGTACCATTTTACTCTGACCTACATAGGAAAAGACATAAGGTGGCTGAGTTAGAAGCAGGTAGGGCGGATCATTTCTCAGCTGCAGTGCAATTGTAGGCTTAAAAATGCAGCAGGGGAAAGAAAAGGCAGGCTAACCCCTGTATTGTCATGTCCTTGTAGTAGTTCAATTCCATGCTGGGTATGTGATCTTTCTCTTATCACCCTTTTAGGTTTCATCCTCCACGTCTCCTAACTGGTTGAAAGTGTACCAAGATGCTGCTGCTTATCTGGAGCAGAGGCAGAATAGGAACACCCAGAGTGCAGAAATAAAATGATAGCTTTCTCCTCACCACGCTCTGCTTTTCCCTTTTGTAAATCCGAGCTGTATTAGGATCACAAATGCACACTGGCAGGTTGACTTGAAAACCAGGTCATCTCAAATCATAGTGTTGTTTAACACTGCAGAATACAATCTTTGGTGCTAGTGCATGTGTCTGTAATTGAATGAATGAGGGAGTCAGAAAATAAAACTGATTTTGTGAAACACTATGAAGGTTCCAAAGGGTTCAGAATTGGCCTGTCTTGTCTAATGTGTTGTGTTTATTTCTCCCTCCCCATCCCATCCCATCCCTGATAATTTATCAGACATTAGCAATTGGCCTTACAACTTTGGACATCCATATGGTGTTCCTTCTTGCTGCTGTTCATGCCCTGGGGAGACTTTGCTACAGTGTTCTCACCTCCCTTCTGCCGAAGCCATCTTTGTTTCTTCTTCAAGCTGTGCATATTTCATTGTTCAGTAATGATTAATGGCATTGGTTCCCATTGCTGAGGGTAGCTTTGCAATATGCTGGCTATGTGCTCTGCTACTTGCCACAGCTGGCAGCAGTAGTGGGCTCCTATCTTCTAATGGAGCTGGTCCTGTAGCTGATGCAATAGGTTTGGGGGTTTTGGTACTATAGGTTCTGAGGTGTTTTTCTCTGTCCTGGTTGTGAACCATCTCTTACTCCTTCCCTCCCTGCCTAAGTGCACTGAGGATGCTATTAATCCTTTGGTAACATGCCAGACATCGAGCTCACCTCAGAGTGTCCATGCAGCAAGTAAGACCTTGTTAGCTTGGATCATCTTGGGAGCCCCAATTTATAGATCAGCGACTGTGACGTGTCCCCTGCTCCATTACTTAGTGTGAGGCCCGTTCCCAATGATTCTTCACATGCTGCCATTGCATGCACGTGAGTGGCTTACATTCTGGCTTTCCTTCCTAGATGCAGGCACCGATCAGACAACAGCAAAAGCCTCAAACCACCCCACCGTCAGCTGTCCAGGGGCAGAAGGTGGGCTCCCTTACCCCTCCGTCCTCCCCAAAGACGCAGCGTGCTGGGCACAGGAGGATCTTAAGCGACGTGACGCACAGTGCCGTTTTTGGGGTGCCGGCCAGCAAATCTACCCAGCTCCTGCAGGCAGCAGCCGCAGAGGCCAGTCTAAACAAGTCCAAGTAGGTGCCTTCATATTGGGTATGGAGGGAGGGGTGAGAATTTCTGGCTTTTTGCTGGCGTGACGTGCCCTCTCCCCTTTGACCAGAAAGGGACATTGTCATTCCATTGGGCACCCCAGTCTGCCAAGCCCCCCAAAACTTTCCCAGAGTTTCCTTCTCCTGGAGGGCAAAAGTCTACCCAAATGCTTCCATTTTCCCAATGTGTGAAGTGACTTCAGATCTCCACTCCACTGCATGTGAAGAATCATTTAGGAGCTTTCCAGGAGCTCAGCACTTGAGCAGTTCCTCATGCAAATTGCATGTGTGGCAATGCCTCTCTGAAAAGTGTGCGCCACACATCGTCCAGACTGCAGCAGTATTTCCAAAGTCAAGAGGCTGAGATGAGGTATGTGGGCTTCTGTCTTCCAAGGTCCGTTGCGCTGCAGTCTTTCAGCCATGCTTCTCTGACCTTGCAGTGGTACTTGCTGCTCTACAGGCAGGTAGAAGGAGTCCATCATAGCATCACTGTGCTCCAACCCATGTGCAGCCTTCTAGGACGTAAGGAGCACTTTTCTCCCTTTGCTGCTTATTTCCCTTTTCTGTTTGGACTGCCACCCCTTTCATTGCAAGCAAAGTGTTTTGGTCACTCAGCCCCAAGTGTTGTGGTCCCATGCGGCTCTTTTCTAGAAAGCTTGGTTGGTGCCTGTTGCTGTACATAGAGTTAGTTAGCCACATTAGTCAGAAGTCCAGCAGACTTGAGCCTAATTGTATAGATTGATAGACTGACTATAAAAATAAACATAACACAAAATATAGTATAAGAGTGCTATTGTAACTGTGATGGCCCAGAAATTTATGCAAGAGGCAAGAACTTCTGTGTGTGATATCTTTTGTTGGACCAACTATGTAGCTGGGACAAAGACAGATAAACATTTCAATGCAAGAGATTCTTCACCAGGTCTCTGATCACAGGAAGCCTATAATATAAAATAGCTATAAAATATAAGCCTTGCCTATAATATAAAATACAATTATTAAATAATAACTATATTGCATCTCTGAATCAGTTTATAAGGTGCAGCTCTACCCTGTCTGTTGCTATCAAATGCATCAAAGACCTCACGTAGGAGTAGAGAGGCCGCTTGGTATGTTTGAGAAGAAAAGGAGCATATACAGTAAGCTTTGTTGAATGTATAGGGCTAGAAGGACACCTACGCTTTGTCTAATTTTCTGCATCACACAAGCTGACTTCATGGACCATTAATGTATTTTTTGTTTGTGGTGGCTGCAGGTCAGCCTCGACCACACCCTCTGGCTCCCCCAGGACCTCTCAGCAGAATGTTTACAACCCACCAGATGTCTCCACGTGGAACCCATTCGATGATGACAATTTCTCCAAGCTCACGGCTGAGGAGCTGCTAAACAAGGACTTTGCGAAACTGGGTGATGGTAAGCTGCTGGGGGGACTCAGTGTCTGCCAGCTGTTGGCATTGCTGCTAGGCAGGGGTGGGGAGATGGTGATGGTGAGGGAATAAGAATTTAGATAGTTCTCAACAGGCTCCAACTACTGTTGTTCTACTGAGTACTCTTTACATCCATTTGAGGATTGCCCCTTGCCCTCCAAGTGTCTTTCTCTTTTTGTGGGTGCATGACATAACTGCATGAGCCCTTCGTAATGTCTTATTCATCTGGTTCTACTGAGCTGTAACCTCTAAGCGCCACTCTCTTTGCAAGTACGAATGGTCAAAAGTCTGCCTGAGAATAGGTGGACCATATTTAAATGGCTTTTTGTTCTTAAGGCATACGCCTATGTGTGGTTAAGGCTCAATGTTTTCTGTAGCATCATATCAGCTACCCTAGATTCTCCAGCCCAAGTGACAAACAATCTGTAGGCAGTTGGGTCACAGTGATCCTTGAACTCGCATCTCTGTATCCATAGCAAAGTTGTCTTAATTGCTCTTTGCCTGCATCTCTTTCCTTCTGTCTTGAAAGAGTGCCCTTGAAATCAGGAACAAGATACTATTTTTGTGAACAAATGGCAGGTCTAGCAAAAACAGTCCATCAGTTAAACTGTTACGCGCTACATCTGCAGACAGTGGCTTGCAAGAAGTGTAAATTAAGACGCAGTATTGGTGCATTGTCTTTAAAGTGGTTTACATTATAGGGAAGTGGCACCTGGAACAGGTGTACCTTCTTGCAAAACCTAGTCATCTGGAATTTCAGGTAAAGCTCCAGAAAAGGTTGGCAATTCTACAGAGAACTTGATTCCAGGCTTCCAGCCAGCTCCCTCGACAACCCAGGCAGATGCTTTTGGTTCCTCCTCCTTTGCAGCTGGATCAGGTAAGCACATGGACCTGTTCTGAAGGAGCTGTGCTCGGGATAAGATAAGTGACAGGGGGCAGATACTCTTCTGCATCCTCCTCTGGAGCCATATCCATTTGACTGATCTCATTTCATCTTGGGGCATCTTGGTAGCAAACAAGAGATGGATTTGGGCTCCTTAATTGTAGCGTGACAGGTACGACATGGGCACTGGGTGACCTGAGCTTGGGAAGCATGTTTGATGCATTTCAGTTGGCTTTTGGAGGCAGAATGACACAATCTTCAGGAAGAGAACTGGTGAGGTGGGTACTGAGCCAAGGCTTCAAGTCTATAAGCAAGTTTGACCTCTTGCTTATCAAAACCATGCAGAGCTAGCCACCCAGAGCAGTCATTGGGCATTGAAAGGCTTAGGTGGAAACAAGAGGACTCTGTGAGAAATGCTGGACAGATAGATATACAACTTCAATTTGTCCTGATGAGGTATGTGGGGGGGGGACTAACAGAATGAAGAAAATGAGGATGCTGAGTAAAATGCTAAGTATCTGTGACTGGGGAAGACTTTTCCCTGCCTCAGAAGATATTGTGACTACTTAAATAGAAGCTATTAATTACCTTGTAAATTAAAAAAAATTTGGGAGGGTAAAGAGGGGTTGATGGGGAGAGGTTAGATTGCAGAAGTTCACTTGGGCAATCTAAGGAACCGATCCCATCAGTGTTTGGAAACCCATAGAGTTCTGCGCAGGGGGCCACGCTTCTGCCCAGAAAGATGCTTTCATGGGGTCAGGGCCCATGACTTTTTATTTGTTTTTCTGCCCTTCTCCTATAAAGCCTGCACCAGCTCCTCCAGCCTCAGAAGTCCCTTGCTGAAAGAGGCTGCATGTCATGCATTTCTTCTTCAGCAGGGGTTCCTGTTGAGCATAATACAGACCTGGGAAATCTCAGCACTTTAGAATGATACACCACAGGTTGTTTCGATTGGCATTTCAGGCAGTTTTCCTTTCCCCTGACCCAACCCTTTTAACACTTAAAGATGTTTCAGCTAGGTTAAAAATCCTTGAGGTTTTATGACCTCAGAGAAGGGAATCTTGCTGTGTCTTAAATTAGGTGCGAGTGCTTGAAGGCAAGCAGTGAGAGAGCCAGGTCACGAGCCTGCCTCAGATTTTTAGATCACTTCTGATTCTTATTTACTCAGGGAGGGGGAAAAGATGCATCAAGCTGATTTCTATCTGTAAGTGGAGCTGGGTAGAGCGTATTCTGAGCTCCGTAGTCTTCCAATGCCTGCAAGCTAAAGTGCTGCAGCACAAGAGGAAGGTGTCTAAATGAGTGACTGTGCTGCAGGTAACTTTCTCTAGCCCTGTGATATTGTTTGGATTGGTCCTTCTGCTGGTGTTGATCAGCATTGCTCAACAGACACTGATAGAGCAACATCGTTTTACTCCAGCTGAGGACCTGGTTTAATGTTCTAACAAAATGTTGCTGAGACCGATCTTTGCAGGTGGAAAGTGCCCCGAGTTCCTGTAATTCAGTAGGTTCAGGTAGTCTTCTTGTAACACAATGGCTTGATTAGCTTTCTTAAGGTGTGTAAATTTCCATTCGCTCCTGTTTGAAGGTTGGTGGGAGTTTGTTCAATGCTCAGGACTGGAGATTCGTAATGGAAGGGCACTGTAGACTTGCTAAGCCTTATTGTTAGGAAACGAGTGATTCAGGCACTGGGCTGAGACTCGGGAGACGTAGGCCTGTTTCCCAGCTCTGTTTGTGAACAGACCTTGGGCAAGTCATTTCCCCCCTTACCTCCCCTTCTGTAAAACTGGGATAATGGTTCCCAGGTAAGAGACCTCATCTCTTTGTGTTCATGCCGTGCTCAACACAATGGAGACCCAATCTAGGGTACCCTGGTGTAACTAAATATTTTATTAGGGTTTTTCTGTGGACCTCTTGGCTATTGTGTTCTGAAAGTTTCCCAGGTTGTCCATAGGGTCCTCCCCTACTCTTAGATCTTTTTTGTTTCTAGATTTTATTGGAGCTTCCCCTGGAGTGGTAAACTTTACTCCTCTGCAGCTACAAGTATGAACCAATGGGTGGCGTGATTGTGAATTTGCAGGTGTGCATGTTGCATTTTACTGTAATTTTTGTGGGAAGCAGTGTGGTCGAGTGGACCGGGTTGTATTTCCAGCTTAGTTGTTGTTGATCTGCTCTGTGACCTTTGTCAAGGCACTTGCTCCTTCTGTGCCTCAGTTCCTTAAGGATGTGTTTGCAGATTAGAAGAGCTGCAGAAGAACTACAAAGTGGTGGGATTACTATTTTTGGCCTAAAGGAATTGAATTTGGGGGGGTGTTAACATGTGTTGTTGTCCTCTGCCTCTTCCTCAAGGGCAGGTTTTGGTAATTCTTTTAAGAATCAACCTATGTCTCAGTGCTGAACCGTTTCTGCTTGACATTTTGCCTTTTTCTTTTCCTCCCCTGTTGTTTCTCTGCTGCTTGACTCTTCCTGCTTATCCAGCTGAAAAAACGAAAGATATTCTGAGTTTGGACACTAGCCCTCCGCTTCTGACTGTGCCTGATCCTTTCATTTCTCTTCCATTATCCGACACACCAGGTAACCAGAAGAGAATCTGCACTTTGTGTCAGTATTTTCATTATTCCATTTTTTTAATTTAATTCTTAGTAAAATTTAAAACTTGTGCCCAGCACTTTGATGAAGGCCCCTGTTGCATTGATGGAAGTCAACAGGAGATGAGGCCAGAACCTTTTGAAGTTGGTCCTACGTGCTTGTGAGTGTACGACACCTAGGACAAAAGAACCCTCATTTTCTGATTGTAGCCCTTCCGTACTACCTGATGATGGGATTTTCATCTGGCATATTCATCAAGGTTCTGTGTACAACGTAAGGAAAAAAATCCAGTATTTAATTGCCCTTTGTTAGGCCATGTTACATTGGTCTCAGATTCCTAGGTATTAAGTTCCAGCCTTTTCCATAATGCAATCAACATTTTCCCTTTGGGTCCTGGGTTAGCACTTGTCTTGCTGCAAATATGTGCTTTATCTGAAGTAAAAGCTGTCTTGTGGCATTCCCTGTTTTGGCAAAATTTTCACATCAAGAGTTCACCCTGAGAGAGGATAATTGGTAGAGACTGCACTTAACATGAATATAGGCACTCCTTTGTACACAAACATCTGTATAACTGTACATGAACAGCTTGCTGCAGAAATCCTCATTTCGGATATGGAAGAGCGGGTTATATGCTTGGGCTATATCTATTGCTTTTGAGATGGTCAGTGGGAGAGTCCTACTTGAAAAGAAGCAAAGGATTTATACAGCAAACAGTAGGAGCTTTACAGTACTGTGGAAACTGTTGTTAGCACCTTCCCTCTAGATTTTGAACCTAGGGCCTTCAGCACTAAAAGCATGAACCTCTACTGCTTGAGCTCAAGGAATTCTCTTCACTGCATAGACAAGAATTCATTAAGTTAACTGATTTAGTTGGTCTAATAAAAGATATCTGATTTACCCAAAGAACCTTGTCTGCCTAAGTTAACTTGGACTCTTATTTGGATGTTCCCCTAATCCCCTGCTGCCTGCATACAGAACCCACTCTGCCTAGGGACTGCTGCCAGCCACAAGAATGGGATATTGCTCAGGGTATGTTTTCTCACTTTGCAACTTTCTCACTCCACCAGTGCCTCCCCAAAGCTCCCCTGTGTGCCCAGAAGGGCTGAGTTCTCTCAACTCACAGGGAAAGATTCATAGTGACTCAGCTTACTGCAAGAGGCATGTGCCCTTAGACGTCCTAGCCACTTAGAAGGAACCATACCATCAATAAGGATAAAGTAAATGGGGTATGGCTTTGCAAGTATGTCTGTACACACCTGGATTAGGCTGCCCTATGTTACTCAAACCTAGGTGCTTATCACTTTGCAGTGAAGGAGGAACCTCTACATGGCAGGTGTAATAAATTCTTATCCTCCTATGCAGGCCAACCACTGGAGATGCATAGTCCCCTACTGCAAGTTGTGTTTTCATTGAACTAATTTAATGTTCTTAATGCTGAGGAATGGTCCTGGAGAATATGGGGGACGGTGTCCGATGGAGAAACTGAGATATTAGCTAGTGGGTAAAATCACTGCAACCATCTCTTCCTCAAGAAGGAGAATTTTTGTAAATATGTACTTTCTCATTTTACTCAGCATACAAGGGCTGCAATCACTAATGGAAATGTAACTGGTAAGAGGAGCTGGCAAGAGAGAGAGAAAAATATGGCAAAACATCTGTTAAAATACTGGAAAATGAAATATTCATGCTGAAAACATTTTTCTTTGTGCCTGTGTAGGGAAGTGAGCCAAGTTGTTGTTAATAAGCTTATTACCAGCTTCTCTGCTGATTAATCAGAATGGAGTATTTGATCAGAATGCTAATTTTTCTGCTGTGTGGCTTGTATTGGTACAAATCTTGCTTACAGTACTATTCGACGTTGACTTTTTGCGCAAGGTATTCTGGAAGCCTTAAATTAAGCTGAGTGATGAAGCCTGAAATCAGATTTTGCTCTGTGCACGAATCTTACTCTGTAATAACCTTCATCCAATTTTTACATGTCTAGTATATGCATTAAAGATGATTTTTTCTTGGGGCCTGCTCCAGAACCTGCAGGTATGAATGGGCTTTAGGTATAGCTCCTATGAGCAAATTTGCATGAGCAAATTACTTAAGCTTATGCTGGATTTTAGGCATGCAGACATTCCTGTCACCATATTACTTTGCTGACTTCAGCATATACTTGTCATTTAAAGTGCATGCTTAAGTGCTTTGCTGAAATACAGCCCTGATTTTTGTATTATCCCCATGTAGAGATGCACCAAAGTTTTTTGGGTTTTTTTGTTTTTTTTCCCCACTGCTTTCCAAGAGAAACACTTCTGCATAGAGATGTGAATATCTGAAACATGGGTGCACTGAATGTTTCATTCCAAAGGTTTTCCTTTTTTTTCCCTCCTCTCAAGCGGGCAAGAATACAGGGGAAACAATAACTGAGAAATTAAAAACCAAGGACATACTGCTTATATTGGAAACGTTGGAGGAGGGGAACACTTACAAAGAGAACCCATTTCCACTGCAAGGCTGAGGAGAGCCAAACATTTTGACGGGCTCTACTGAGAGTGTGAAGGAGTCAACATCTTGAGTTGTACTGACCAAATCAAACCTTTAGAGATTCAGGAATGAAGTACCTCCATACCGTGTCAGTCTTGGTGTCTTGGGACATAAGTAGGATTATAAGTTTGGCTTTGGTTATGCTTATCTGCATGCAGAGGATTGCATCAAGTTTCTAAAGTGAATTTCCTGCTGCCGAGACACTATACTGACTGACTAACTTGTTCTTGAGAGCTGAACAGGATTGACCTGGTAGAGATGGGTCACTGGTTATGGAAGACTCAAATAGCAGTGGGAACTGTAGAGCAGTAGCTAAATGGGGAAAGCACTGCTTGTCCAAACGAGAGAAAGAAGGGCATGCTCCCTGGGGCTTTTGGTAGGGGAGCAGCCTGTGCTTTTCTGCCCTAGTTCTAGTCCCTCTTGGGTGGATATTGATAGGCCCCATTGCTTACCTTTTTGTTTCTATACTCCCTAAAGTAATACACATCACGGGCTAGAGTAGAATTATCCATCCATTATAAATGTGCATAATTTTGCCCTACGTACATAATTATTTGCCTCCAAAATATGGTCAGAGCTCATTATTCCAGGCACCATAGAGAAACCTAATAGGAGACGGTCCCTGCCCTGGAGAACTTAAAAGTCTAAATAGGCAAAATGGACGAAGGCAGGAAAGGGACCTTGGGCATAGGGAAGATGCATGTGCCATTTGAATCCTTGAACAGAATTGGCTCCTCGTAGATGGTTGTTGTTGTTATTATTAGATTTCCATATGATCCAGCATACAATGCTGCTTTTAAACAGTGTCAAATGGGATTTATCAGAGACTTAGAGCTAGCACTTAACAGAGTTTTCTGCCTTTACTGCTACATGTGAACATAGGCTTCCCTCCTGCTTATTTTATATAGAATGGCAAAGTGATCTGATGGATCTGAGAAGACAGTTAAATGTCAGCACAGCCTGGAAACAAATCTGTTGTCTGCAGCCATTACATTGTTAAGCCAAAGTGTTGAAAAATCATAAGACTGGTATCCTTTCCGTTCCACACCATGTGATTTGATTTTTGTGATTATAATCAGGACATTTTCAATCGTAACTAATGTGAGGTTCCTTTTTTGGGGGGGTGGGGTGTAGGGGAGGGCTCACATGGTTTGGTATCACATTTCCAAGTTTCCCTGCAGCTATAAGGTCTAGTTTTCATACACAATTAAAATATACACAGAATCACAAGATGCCAGAAGCTGGGACTTTTAAAAAAAAAAATGTAAAGGATCAATGAGACTTATGTGGCATCCAAAAGCACAGAGCCAAGACTTATGAAGCAGCCTAATCCCTTTTCTAAACATACAAGTTATACTGCTTTAGCTGTATTGCAGCAGTTAAAGTAGTATGACGTACTTATTTGGACACTGTTAAACTATTTAATGAAGGTGCGTGATTCCACTGTAAATGTGTTCCCTGTATGGGAATAAGTTCTACTGGATATAACTGTTTCTACAGTAGGGATTCGTTTAAGATCACTATGTTGGTGGGAAAATGACACCTGTAACCAGCATAGTTAAATTGGGGGTGCCGGGGAATTGGGTATAGATGAGATTTAAGGGTTTAGGATTCTCAGTTCATTTTAAAAAATGTAGGATCCTGGGATATACTAGTCCCTGTAGGAGGCTTGGAAAATCCCGCTGTCCACAGCTCCTGCTTTGAGCACTTGGAAAGTGTTTCTTCTGCATTTCTTGATGTTTCAGAAACATTGATATTTTTCCAGCCCCCACAGATGGACAAAACTGAATGATTTCTGTTTCATTCCAGAACAGGCAGGGCAGTGGAAAGGAATGATTTGTCCAAGAGCTCACTTAAATGAATAACCGCTTTATTTGTGGATGGTGAACTTGATTTCTCTGTGGAGGACCACAAAGCCCATTTGAGACTTTCACCCCGCTTTCATTGAGAGGGTGAATAGTGCCTTGCACTTACTTCTGTATGGGGGTGGGGGGTCAGGAATTCTACCTCAGTGGCAATAAAGCAAAATTAATTATTAATTGCAAGATTTATTCTTGCTCTTTCAAGGAACTGCTTTCTGACTATTACACATTGTCCTTTAAATTTCTGATAACACTCAAAATAAATAATCTTGCACTTATGTTTTTGGAGAGAACCCGTATATATGCAATTACAAAAAAAAATTTGGCAGTCTAAAGAATCAGTTCTGTTCAGCAGAAACTCCATTAAGAAAATTAAAGTCCAGTGTCCTCCCTTTGATTAGTCAGAGCCTGACAAAATCCTCCAAGGTAGAATAATGAACGAGGCTTCCTTTCATCTCTAATGCTTGATTAATCAATAGGAAGAAATCTTTCTGAGTGACTAATCTATACTTACTTTGATAATTGGCCCTCTCCCTTACAGCAGTGTTGACTTGGCAGGATTTTTACAACCTTGTTTTTCTTTCTCAGTTGACA